AGGAATGTTCCTGGTTTTTAGAGACAGAGAAGTGTCAAACTAGGAAGGCTCTTTAACACAGAGTGCAAGAGGAGCAGAATGGACAAGAATTATGAGATTTTCTGATAGTGGGACACAAGCCCAAAGTCAGTAATTTATTTTGAATCAAGGCTGAGATTGGCCATCGGTCAAAGGCTATAAATCGATTTTATTCCCTAAATTAAAAACTATGTTATAGTCCACTTAAATCCCTACTAGTCTAACACTGTTATTAAATATCCCTGGATAGATCAGTACATTTATATTTCTGAGGAATATCTGACATTTGATGTATTTGTAGTGTAATCAGGAATAAACCTTATAATCCCTAAAACATATTTTTGTAACTATTCCGACTGTTACTCAAATGAGATGAAATTATTCCAGCGATAAAAGGTCCATAGGCATCAGGCTGCCTCAGAGCATGCAGCAGGGATGTTCCACATCACCTGTGCAGCACGAAGCGGAGCTCTGCATCAGTTTGCTATAGTCTGATGCAGATGTGAATTTGGGACCAAGTCCTGAGCTCTGCAGATATGAGCCGCTGGAGTACAAACTAAGGCTAGCAAGACACACTGCAGTTTCTTTAATCTTTTTAACCATTCATCTGTAAAATAGGAGGACTATTCAGTCTGTAAATGATAGTAATAGGAGGTACTTTATGAAGACAGAACAGAGAAAACGGTATTTGAAAAAAGTGTTTATTTAACCAGTGATTTTCATGAGAACACTGCTCTCTGATGAGAGGTGACTGAACAATGTGCTATGGGAGAGAGAGAGTTTCAGTGTCGCTGGTTCCTATTTAAATAACTAGGAAAGCAACTCAACATAGAATTACGTTGTGAGCACAATCCTGTGTAAGTACAAGCTCTTACAGATCCCTCAACACATAACCTTAGTAACTTCTCAAAAAGACAATTTCTTTCAGAAGCCTAACTGAAACAACATTTAAGGAGAGGAAACAACGGCTCGTCATTCATCTCATAACTGTCTATTTTCTACACTTTCCTGACCTTTTCAAGAATAAGATTTATATTGGGGAAAATTACTCGTGGCATATGCATTACTAGAAATGGCCTTTGAATAAATTCACTAAAGACTGCCATTCTTCTGTAATTACAGGGACAGGGCTCATATATGGGTCTACACATCTGAATAAATGGATGGTTAGATGGATATGTAATATGATGGTAATTTTATTTAGGAAGGGAAATAAATTAGGCTACATATTCACCATACACACTATGCTTAATTATCACAAATTCTTAGAATCCAATATTCAATTCATTTCATAGTTTGTAACTTCCATCAACTTTTATTAATCTATTTATACCTTGATTATAAAATATAGTGTTTCCATTATATTTCCATGGGTCTGCATATATATGTATACATATGCAATATTGTGGATTCTGTGAAATACATCTTTCACCTTTTACTCACTGATCGTGGAAACACTTCTTTAAAATAACCCAAATAAAGCAAATTTATACATTGAGACATAAAAACATCAAATTGTTTTTATCAGTAATTTTACTTTCTATTTACAAAATGAACATATATATAAAAATTTTACTAAATGTAACAAAAAGAATCTTCAGCATAAGTATCAGAACTTGTACACATTAACCAGAAGTAATAACAGTACTTCAGCACTTACATTACAATAATAGCTGAAATTTTCTTTTTCACCCAATGAGAACCAGTTTTTGATTGGCCACCACCATATTTTTTTACACGGATCTTGTTCTTCTTATGTCGAACCATTTTGCAGCTTGTTTGCTGGCCCCTAGTCTACTGATGCACATCACTGCAGTGAATGCATCAAGCAAATCACAAAGCCCCTACATGCCCGTCCTTGCTGTTACTACTTCTGTTGCTCAGAACTTCACTGCAACAAATATTGACTCTCTGAGCAGACGTATTATAACGTCACTCTGATGCAATCACTGAGCATTATAACATCATCATTTCTTTGAATAAATTCTACAGTACAACATTGTTTATAATTACTGGGAAAAACCGTTAACAGTCCGAAGTGTATATTCAGAACATTTTTATTCCGGAGTGTTTATATTAGTGCTATTTTAATTTATATCTACTTAGAACTGACAACTTTCAAAAGTGAATCAATAGGAAGTTATTGCTGTTTGGTTTTTGCCTAATGAAAGTTATTATTGCCGAGATAAATGGAAAATATATTTATAAATTCTGCATTCTGTAATTCTACTGTTATGTAGACTTCTTGCTCTAACTTGCCACTTTATGAATAACAGATGAATAGGTAAATAATTATTAGAGGTGATTATTCAGGATGCCTTTAAATTAAAAAAAAAAAAAGAGGGGGAAAGGTGAAATAGTATCAGAAGACAGAGTCAAAACAAAGCCAAACATAGTTAAATCACTGCACTTCCTGCCAAATATTACAGGGATTTTTGCAAGATTTTGCAATATAATTTGTAATTGTAAACTGTAAAATGTAATTTGTAAATTGTAATATAATGTTACAACATTTTGCAATATGTAAACTTTCACATAGGTTAAAAAATGCCATTAGATAAATTAATGCACAAAAGAACAAGCGACCATAGCTGTCAAACACAAGGGTAGAACCTCTGGTTAGAAAATATTTGGAGTGGAGTGACTGCAAGATCCATAGCCTCATCCTCCCAATCAACCACACTGAAGATCAGAGATGGCAGACATTTACTTTCTATTTTAAAGCTATATACTTATTCCACAAAGTCAGCCTTAAAGTAATACTCTACTGAGATCAATCCCATTCAACTGGGAGGCATGAACTCCAATATCCTAGTTGAATTAAATAAATGTTAATATACCAAGGCACACACTTTAATTTTTTCTTTCCTAAAGCTAAGCAACACCTAAAAATGCTAATAAACAAAACAAAAAAGCTCTAACACAATGTGCCACAGAAAGTACTTTTTTTCAGCACAAAGTCAGAATTTCAGGGTTACATACACTTTGCTCATATATCATTAGCCTATTAAGTAGATGCAATACGAGGAAGAGATATGCGTGGGAAGGAGAGGGGGAGGCTTGGATTATTTAATTCTATTCATTCCATGAGTGGAACTCCCATTGACAGTTGTGGGAATAAGTAAGA